GTGAATTCAACACTAATTGAGAGTTGGGGACCATATTTCCCCCACTTGAATGTAAACAAGCTCTTACTATAGATAAAGTGACACTCTGTGGCTTTTAAATCTTGCTTTAAAATTCCATACAGTGTCAGAACACAGCTGCCACTCTGTGACGAAGCCCAAACCATACAGAGTAGTTATATTTAGGGTTTTGGCTGACAGCTACAGCTGAAGGCCTAGTTGACAGTAAGTAAAGCCATCAGACATGTGAGTAAGAAAGGCTTTAACATACAATATGAATTCATATCATGAATTAAAGTATGGATATTACTAAGATGAAAAAGTAGTAATTTGTGGAAACTACTAAATTATTTTATAGTATTTTTTATTTAAATGTTTAGATATAGGAATGTCAAATAATCAAATAATTTTTTAAAATTTAAAAAGCAATAAGTAAAAATAAAAATTTATAAAATTACAGTGTTCACAAAGGAGAATTTTTTGGTTTAAGAATAAAAATTAAAACTGAAGAGTGTTTTTGAAATTGGGGTTTCTATTTAAATTGAGAAAAATTAAAATAAACAGGTAAAGTAGCTTTTCCGATTTTCCTGAGTTTGAAAATTATACTAGGTTAATAAAAATTGTAATTACTTGTGCTTTTGAAATAGTTCGGTAATGACAAAAAAAATATTTTAAAACCATTTCTTGTATGCTGGATTCAGACTTACATTTGGAATATCAATGCATTCAGCACCATTCTGACACAGTATTGATGAACACTTATTGACATCAATTTCACAGCCTTGATCAAGAAATCCTTCTTGGCACTCACAGATGTAAGCAGAATTTTTATTTTGGCAAATTCCCCTTTTCCAACCAGATGGAAAAACACAGTGTTCTATTGACTCTTCACAGAATGGACCTTAAAAGATCACACACATGCACATACAAAAAGAAAATATTAACATAGATATGGAGCAAAATTCATTATTAAAAAAGTCTATAGAGTTCATGGAATCTTTTTTTAACAGATGTTCATGGTATAATTCATGTATCATAGAATTCATCCATTGCAAATAAATAATTTAATAACTTTTGTAAATATATAGAGCTATTCAACCATCAGCACTATCCAATTGTAGCACATTTCCATGACTCAAAGAAAAGCACCATTAATCATTCTTTCTCTATATATTTATTTGCCTTTACTAGATATTTTTTATAAATGGAATGGTACACTTTTTACTTTTTTATTGAGATATAATTGACATTTAACATTATATTAGTTTCAAGTGTATCACATAATGATTCGATATATGTATATATTGAGAAATGATCATCACAACTCCTGTTAGCATTCATTACCATACATAGTAACATTTTTTTTTTCCTTGGGGTGAGAATTTTGTCTACTTTCTTATCAACTAAAATTTATGAATAATGAATTCACACCAAGTATTTGAGTAGATATATATTTTCATATGTCTTTTACAGATTCCTAGTGGTGAAACTGCTGAGTGTAAGGTAAATTCAGGTGTAACTTTTTAAGAAACTACCAAATTGTTTTTTCAAAGTGGCTGTGCCATTTTACATTTACACCAGCAATGCATGAGATATTCCGTTTCTCCACATTTTTTCTAACATTTGATATTGTCTCTCATTCTAGTGAGTGTGAAATAGTATCTCCTTGTGGTTTTAATTTGCATTTCTGTAAGACTAACAATTTTTAACATCTCATGCAATCATTAGCTATTTGCATATCTTCTCTAATAAAATTTCTATTCAAATATGTGGACTATTTTAAACTTGTTTTATTTATTTTCTTATTATTGAGTAGTGAGTGTCCTTTGTATATTCTGAATAAATTCTGAATAAATCACAATTTTATTATGATTTATATGACTTGCAAATATTTTCTGCTTGTCTTGTCCTGCCTTTTCTATTCACTTTCCCAGATGGTGACTTTTGAATAGAAAAAGTTTTCATTTGGTTAAGTCCAAACTGCCAACTTTCTGTTTTATTTCATTAAGTCCAATTTGTAAACTTTCTTTTATAGATTCAGTTTTATCATGTTTTAGATGTAATAATTGAGAACATTTTGCCTAAGCAGTGGTCATAAAGACTTTTTTCTTATGTTTTATTAGAAGTTTTATCATTTTAGCTCTTACATTTAGATCTCTGATACATCCGATTTAATTTTTTGTATGGTGTGAGATAAAATGTCATTTCATATACACACATATATGTATGTTATATATTTATATATACTTTCTTACATGACATACCATTGTCCCAGCAAAATTGTTTAAAGAGACTCTTTTTTATCCATTTAATTTCCTCTTTCACTATGGTTAATTAATTTTAGAAAATCAATTAACCATAAACATAAGAGTTGATTTTCAGACTCCCAATTTTGCCCTACTGGCCTATATACCTATCCATATGTAATAACACACTGTCTGGATAAATGAAGCTTGACAGTAAGTTTTGAAATTGGGCAGTCATTAAACTTTTTCTCTTTTCTCTTTGCAGTTCTGTTTAAAGTTTTGTATGAGTTTATCAATTTCTACAAAAAAACCAGCTGGAACATTGATAAAGATTTCAATGAATTAATAGATAAAATTGGAAAGAGTTACCATTTTAACAATAAGGAGTTTCAATCAATGAGTATTCAATATCTCTCAATTTATTTAGATATATTTTCATCTCTCTCAGCAATGTTTTGTAGTTTTTAGTTAAAGTCTTGCATTTAATAAATTAAATTGATATCTAAGCATTTTACCCTTTCCATACTATTGTAAAGGAAAACATTTTCTTAAATTTATTTTTGGAATTGTGTTGCTAGTATATAGAAGCACAATTCCGTTTTTGTATATTATCTTGTAAACTGAAAACTTTATAAACTCAATGACTAGTTAATAGTTGCTTTTTTTTTTTTTGATTCCTTAGGTTTTCATATGAAATTATGGCACGTGTCAAAAAAGATAGTTTTACTTCTTCCTTTTCAATCAGTATATCCTTATATCACTCCCCATCAAACAGTCTAGAACATCCAGTACAATGTTTACTAGAAATAATGAAACTGGATATCACTGTCTTGTTCTCATTCTTAGGGAAAAATCTGCCAGCCTAATATCATTTGTATGATGTGAAGAGGTCAATTGTCACAGATGCTTTTTATCAGGTTGAGAGAGTTTTGTTTTCTTTCTAACTTATTTAGAATTTTTATATTAAATGTCTGCTGGATTTTGTCAAATAGATTTTCTGCATTAACTATGAAGCTCATGCAATTTTGTTCTTCATTCTAGTAATATGCCATATTACATTATTTTCAGATGTTAAACATATCTTGCATTTTAAGGGGCAGGGAGAAATCTCACTTCGTCAGAATACAAAAATATTTTTATATGTTATTGAATTTGGTGTGTTCATATTTTGAGGATTATCAATGTATATTCATAAATGTTATTGGTTTTTAATTTTCTTATCTTGTGTCTTTGCCTGGTTTTGGTATGAGGCTTATACCAAAAATAAATACATAAATATTTAAAATGTGTTCGAAAGTGTCTTCTCTTCAATTTTTTTTTTTTTTTGAAAAGTTCATAAAGGTTAGTTCTAACCCTTTAAATATTTGGTAGGTCTGTACAGATTTTCTATTTTTTCTTGAGATAATTTTAGTAATTTCTATCTTTCTAAGAGTTTGTCCATTTCATTTTAGTGGTAATTTGTTGGTATATAATGTTTGTAGTTTTTCTTTATAATCTTAATTCGAATGGTCATTAATGATATCTTCACTTTAAATCCTGGTTTCGTTGATTTGTATCTCCCCTTGCTTTTTCTTAACAGTCCAATTAAAAATATGTCAATTTGTTTTTCTCAAAATACAATACTTTGTTTTTTCAAAATTTTCATCAGTTTTATACTTTTCCTTTAATCACACAATTTCCTTTCTTTGCAGTTCAGTTTGCTCTTTTATTTTTCTAGTTACTTAAGATAGAAGCTTAGGATATTTATTTGAGAATTTTTCTTTTTTAATGTAGGAATTTAGAACATAAACTTCCCTATAAGCATTGTTTTAGCTACACTCCATAAAATTTGATATGACGTGTGTGTTCCATTGTAATTTCTTCTTTGAATCAGGTTATTTTAGAAATTTGTTTAATTTCCAAATATTTGGAGATTTCTCAAAATTTTTCAGCTGTCAATTATTAATTTAATTTTGTTACAATTGGAGATCATATAATGTACGATTTTGATTCCGTTGTTTTATGGTCCTGGTCATTTGTTTATTTGTTTATCAACAGTAGAGTTGAAAAGTGCCCGTTTGGTACTTGATGCAATGCGAGAGCAAGTGCCTCCTTAAAGTTTGTACACTAGGAAAGACAATTGTCTTCCTTTGGTCCCAATCCTAAGATCATGTGAATAAAATAAATAAAATAGTATATTAAGGCTCAAGCCTGGGAGTTCCATTACAGTGTTCATAAGACCTGAATCAGCATGTGTTTCATTGCACGGTTGAGAGGACTGTGTTTGACATGTTGTCATTAGGTGCAGTATAACGGCAATAAAAGGTACCTACAATAGTGATCTGACAACCCTTGCCATATCTGTTAACTTCAAGATTTCAAAAACAAAATTGACTCCTTTTACTTATTGTTGGCCTAAATAGAGCTTTGGACAATTTGTATGTACATGTTGAAGAGATCTGAATGGAGAAATATCTGTCTTCCTTCTAAATATGACATACGTGTCCACCAAGAACTATCTACAGGTTTTATAAAGTCATTGTACTTCAAATTCATAAACCTGTCAACCAATTTACTATATAACCTAAGGCTCACAAGTATACATGTTTATTGGAAAAAAAGTTTTATATATAAAATAAAACTCATTCGTTATTATGTAAATAGGAGCAACAAGAAAATTTTGCTATGAAGAATTGTTACTTTGCAACAGTATGCAAGCTTAAAAAGCCCTACTTAAAAGACATGCTGTTAATGGATTTTAAGTATGAAATATGCGCTAAATTCTAAAATACGAAGACATAAAGATAGCATAAAGCTGAGTGACTACACTATTAGCATTATTCTATTAAAATAACTGAACCTCTAATTTCAAGATATGACAGGAAAAAAATATTTTGATGACACAAAGAGGAATGAATGTGTATTTCTCAACTTTGTGATACATTTGTCCTATTAAATAACTAAATATAGAGTATAACATTCAATTATATTTAAGACATAATCGCTCGTTAGCTTAAGAAATTATTTGAATGATACTACTTTAATGTATGAAATGCTTGACATTTCCATGCACACCTTTTTTGATTAAATCCTTAAGATAAAATTTGGATTTATAAAAGGACTTTATTATTCAGTGTTATATTTGAATTTTCTTTTAAATAAAAAAAAAACTAATTTTGGTAGAAGTTAAGCAACTTGCAACATGTCACACAATTGGTTAATTAATATCACATTAGTAATAAAAATTTGTGCATTCTATATAATCTTAATATGACTGCATGCTATTTTCACCACAACATAGCCCATTCGATTAGTTCTGTAAGGAAGGTAGAAGACTAAAATGACATTTGATTGTCAGCATTAGCAGAACATTCCTACTCTAGAATACAACAGTATGTTGTCCAGCATTGTATGTGGAATATATAAAAGACAGATAAATAAGTAAAATATTTATTTGGCTTCTTCTGTAAACAAACGAACCAATAAAAAATTCTTCCACCATATAAATATATCTTTGTGGATATTTGTGATGGAAGTTTCCAAAATAATGCACAAAATAAAGTAGTGAACAGAGAAAAATGCATTTTTTTAGCATTTATTTTTAAATAATTCACATAAAGTTGAAAGGACAGTACTAAGAGATCCTATGTATGGCTACATCTTATGCAACTATCAT